GCGTAGCTTTAGATGGCACGCCTCATGCAAACTACTTTCCGTGTGAGCTGTGTGGTAGCGATGCTGTGCTAAAATCTGACATATGTAAGGTCAGGGCCGTAGGCTGAGCAAATGCTTAGGGGGGCAGTGACGGATCCAGGATTTCAAGGAGGGGGTGAGTAATAGGTGGGGGATCTGGTGGTCCTCCCCCCGAAAATGTTGAAAATGTAGATCGCAGGAGGTGGTATTTGAGGCACTTTTGAGTACATGTACAGCCTTCGACTATTCTCTTTTAGTAGAACAATTTTTTTTTTAAATTTGCTCCAAAATCTAGGGGGGCAGCTGCCACTCTTGCCCCCCCCCCCCCGCAGACTACGGCCCTGAAGGTGTTCGGATATTCTTCAGAGAGAGAGAGAGGGAGGGAGGGAGAGATAGGTCATCAGACCCTAGCCACTTGTGCAAAATATCCCGAAGCAAGTCCATGAAGCACATCTTGCCACCTAACACCGAAAAAATGTGCCTAATGCCTAGCGCAGACCTGCGATTTTTGGCTGTTCGTTGCTGCAACCTGCAACCGCAAGCGATCGGTCCATGTGTCGCCGCGTGTGCGCACACAAGCGATTTCAAAGCAATTCTAGAACAATTTGGGAGCGACGAGTCACGAGAATCAAGAGCTCAAAATCAAAACAGTTTGATTTCTTTCAACTCGTCGCAAGCAACCAGAATCGCTACGGGTTGCAGTTGCACATTCCCGCAGACGTAGCGATTTCACAGCAATTTTTACAGCGATTCTAGAATCGCTGCCGAGTTGCATGAAAAAGTCGCAGGTCTGCGCTACGCTTAACTTCTGAATCTCTGTGTTGAGCCAACATTAATAGAGACATTGCCACCACAATTTAATCATATGCAGTCTGTTAAAGAAATCGAGCAGAAGAAATAGGCAGTAATAGCTCACAATGTTCCCTCCACACACTGCGCGAGAGTTGCAAGTGATCAGTTCGATATTAGTAGTGATGCTAGTCGATCAGTTAGTAGTGCTCACGAATGACTTCGACGTGAGAACAGTAACAGGCATCAAGAAATGATCAAATGCATCAGTTTGCATGAAGACTATTACAGGCACAACTTGCGGTAGATATGCAGTCATGTAGGGTGCAGCTATATTGTGCTATTTGTGGTGTAATTTGCACGATCCGAGATGGGTAAGAAAAGAGACATACTTCTAGAAGGAAGGCTAGTTGTTAAAAACCATGCAAGCTTGATACGTGATGTATCATATATTGCTACATATTACTTCTGTCTATAGAGTATTAGACTATAAATAACATGTGTCGGGCTTTATTATTAGAGAAAACGCAACAGGTGCTGTTATTAGGTACAATAGTTTAATTTACTAATGGTTTTCAAATAAATGGAGATTCCAAGGAATTCCATGTGCATTATATGGACCTTCCTGTACGTTAGTTATGGATTACCAGATTCCCCACTCAATCACCATAAAATATATCCACACATACAAAGTAATGAAATTGTCACCAAAATTGCACATTAGACTGCATTAGAAAACCTACAGAAATAAAATGGTACATTACCGAGCAACGTTATTTTTCTCAAGTATACTGACTAGATGACAGTACTGGAAAAGATCATTCATTGACACTGCACACATATTGGAATCAACATATCTACACTATAGTATAAATACATTCACGATATCGGTAATAATTTACCTCAATTCCTTGTATCGCGTATATGTATACTATCAGGAGTAGATAATAGGGACCCCTATCATAATAATCCCTATTATCTACTCCTGATACTATGGAATACGACCTATTTAAATTGTTACAAAACCAACGACAGGTAGGTTTCAATACGTAGCACTGTGCTGAAAAACTGCTGATAACCAAAGGTGTCGTCAACATGGTGGTATGTTTATGAAACAACCAGCCCATAAATCTAGTCGGTAATAACAGAGTACTAGGAAGATAGTAATTCTCTTATAGGGAGCATTAATGGTTGCTTATTATTCGATGTCTGTACGCACAAAACTACGGGTTTTAATTGACCCCCCCCCCGCAATAGACTGAAGTAATTGTTATATTTAAAGTCGTATTTGTTTATAAAATAACAAACTAGCTCATGTTCCAGGCTCTAAAGCACAATTCATTCATAATAGATATGTGAAAAATATTCGCAGGGAAGCTAACACACACGTGCGGTGCGTGCGGCCAAGTATCAAAATGTTTATATATGTATATAGTATACGGAATCCTATTATATAGTATATATCCTATAATAGACGCTAGTTCTGTGGACCATTGTTCATGACTGAGTGCTGAGTAGCTCCAAGAAACGGTATTGCTAGGGTTAGAATACCGATGTATATTGACGTCAGTCACACAGCCTGGTCGGGTTAAGTGCTGAGTGGATAATTGCAGTTGTACATATATAATCATGAGATATATTTGTGTCTGATGAAAAAAACGTTCAAGTGAAAGTACGACGCCATTACTATTCCAACTAATTTATGTTCCTCACGTGCTGGTTTAAAAAATCACGAGATATTACCGCGACAGCTCTTTCTACGTGCATTTTAAACGTTAGAATACCCCTAATTAAAACCGCTTATGAATCGCCCAAGTGGCTTTCACGCCTGAAGTCCGAATTCCTTCCTACTCCTGCACCATCAATATACTGATAGAAGGGTGAATGTAATCAATGCTGTACGTTTGAAAAAAAGCAACTCCATGTAGTGGATTGCACACACGCGCACATGCTCGAGCAACGAAGTCCAGCGAAACGAAGCGAACATACCCCAGTCTCAATTTTGCTTGCTCGACCAGCGAAGTCCAGCGAAACGAAGCGAACATGCCCCCGCTGTATTTCGCTTGCTCGCGCAGCGAAGGCGAGCGAAATGAAGGCGAGCGACTTTAATAGCTCTTTTATATCGTCATATCTAACCCCCCTTGATATCTACTTTATATCTAACCCACTCTTGATAACCCATTTTATATCACGACATTAATGACATTAAAGTTGGGAACGCTCCTAATGGAGCATCACCCCAATGTTTTCACAAAATGCAAGCTCACGTCGTAGTTTACAGCACATGTAGCAACATCTTGAGTAGGGATGTATTAGTTCATAGCAATTAACACAAAAGAATAACGTGATGTGATGCAACTAATATTAATCAAACAAAAATGAAGCCCAAATGAATAATTCACGTCTTTTATAAAACGAAGTTTCTAAAATAAGTTGCCGTATTCAGTTTACGCAATTAACTAGCGAATAACCGCACAGTCAAAATTTGTAGTTAGATATAGCTATTACATGGCATTGGTAGTGGTGTTATTAGATATAGAGTCGTAAGTACGCGTGCCAGCATCTGCTCTTATATACAACACGACGAGACACTGAATTTTATTTCAGACGTGGTGATTACCTGTTGCCGTATAAACTAGTGCTTGATCCCAGCTTTTAACTAACGATACCAGAAGTGAATAATGACAGATTCCATAATCTAGATCTAATAATAGAATCTATTATTATTCACTCATGACGATATTAATACCTGTAACACCATGACGATGCCGTGTGGACTCACTGTATGTGAGCGTGTAGACCCTTTTTTCTAATCCATCAATTTTTTCTAACCTCGTGGGTGTGACTACAAACCTTCCAATGTCTGCACTTGATGGCCGATTTTACAGTTCGGTCAAACTCTCATTAACACGTATATTGTTATAGTTGCCTACCATATTAATAAAATTTTAGGTAAAACTTATTATAATTTGTGGGGTAAAAGCCCAACCGATTACATTGCTAACGTGCGTCAAGTGATAAAATAACTTAATTCACTGAGATGCTTTATCTTCTCTGCAGACGTATATCACACAGAAATCTCACACAGTGCAATTTCACGCATTCACTATTCACCGCTCATGAAATCCCAATATATTGAGGGATATTAGCCTTTTAAATACAGCCAATGCGGTGGAGGTTCTGCAGAAGTTGAAATCCAGGGGCATAGCTAACTCAATTTACTGGGGGAAGCCACACACGGTGGTTTGCCTTCTGGGAAGTTGACTATGGGCACTGTTCGCCGTTGACTATGTAATAGTATCAAGAGTGTATAATATAGAAACTATATATATGGATAATATATACTCCTGATAGTATCTACATTGATCTGTAGGTAAGTCTACATAGTCCACTCCTTCCCCCTGCTAGCCGGGGTTCCATACAAATTGCGACGTCCGTCTATTCATCTACAGCAGCTAGTCACTGATGGTTACTGTGAGGCATCCCTGTACAAGAATATTGCTCACAGACAGTGACAGCTACTCTGATTTCTGTTTCCCACAACCGCTACAATTATTATTCAAACGGACCTGAGCACTAGATTATATCGGTTGTTACAATAAACGGATATGTATATGGCAGACGAGCATCCATTCAATAAGACAATACATGGTGCATACACAGAACTGCTTACACTACTTCCAATAGATTAGTTTTCCCAGAAACTTTGCAAACCTTGACAAGTCATGTAAACTCGTCATATAACAAGTCATATAAGGAAGATAGTCATTCCCCTGAAGTGTGTGGCTGCTATCAATCACACTAGGTATGAGCATTCTGTAACGCGTATTGGAGTCCGTTACAGATAATATTACTTTAACGTATAAAATATTTTCAGTACAATGCTTTCTACTTTTCAACGAGTTGTCGCCAGGTTTAGTGCATGCGTTTCCGAGAGAACTGATCGTAGCCACACTAAATGCCCTCTTAAAAGCTTAACCTTAACCAGAGCCCAATTTCTCTACTATCCTCAGTCCAACTGGTTGAAATCTAAAATTTGCTATAGCAAGTAATATTTAACTATGTATAAATTGCACATTCACATTGTGTCGCACTGCCACTTCAGGAAATATCTTCGCTCTTACGCAATAAAATATTTTACCTGTAATTAATTAAGAGCTAATAATACCTTATTAGGTTATTATGAGGTATTATTAGCTCTTAATCTAATGTATATTTCCGTGATAGCTATATATAATCATTTACATGTTCGTATGTGTGAGTGCGCTTTGTTTGCATGCTATTTTCTTATACTAACGGGGCCTCGGAAAGCAAGCCAAGGATGAATGCACACTGCCTATTATAGTGGCTGCCTCAGAATCCCCGATAGCTGGCCGGATATTTTGAGTAAATGTTGTTTTCACAGTGTGTTGCACAGTGCTGCCATCCTAGTTTCTCGAAGATCTGTAAGTACGGTAAAAAATACTCATTTGTTTCTCATTTTTCCATGGCAACGCTTTGAACGACACACACACAAAATATGTCACACACATCTAAACTTCGTGGTAATCAAGTGTATGAAGTTTCATTAGAATCCCTTGAAAACTGTGGAAGTAGTTCGCACCACAAACTTTTTGTAATGGGGGGGGGGTATAATCAAAAATGAAATACGGTTTCCATGGCAACACCTTGACCGACGCACACAAAAAATATGTCACGCACATCTATACTTCATGGTATTAAGTGTATAAAGTTTGATTGGAATCCCATGAAAACTGCAGAAGTAGGTCGCGCCACAAACCTTCGCACAACTCGCCCGCCCGCCCGACCGACCGACCGTAAAATGACTCCTATATACCCCCTTCAAACTTCACGGGGGTATAATTAAGAATTTAACTTGAATATCATTGAACCTTTTTAAATAGTCATTAGATAGTAGATAGTAGAGAGGTTTTCTAGCAAAATACGTCTATATAATAACTCTCTTTCAGGACCAAAATTCCCTAAATTAATGTCACCATGCACAGTAGTAGAATTAAAGTAAAAAAAGGTGCATCTTACCTCGATGACTTTATATTCATTCTCCTTCGTTGCTTTCTCATCCAGCTGTCGAAGTAATAATTTCAAGGCTCTCCCATAATGCTGGTTGACCATTGCATGGCGAATGGCAAATGGTGCCACCTGCCATCACGTCAAGAAATCACATATTCGGTCAAAAATATTCGGTCAGTATAGTCGCCACCATTTATTTGAGAACATCACAAATTGGCAAATTTTATCAGTAATCTTTATAGACGTAGTATGTACGTGTGCGCATGTGTGTATGCATGTAATCTTGTTATTGAAATTCATTAAACTCAAATTTCAACTCCTCTCCAACTAAACTGCTATGCGCAAATCAACTTGGACTTTACAACTCACTACTATTCAGCTTGAGAAGTGCTCATCATCCAAAACTAACCCCGACTCGAAATTTGGCTGCGTACATTAACACATTTCCGCGACCATTCCGCATGTATCAGCCACACAGCTGCGCTTTGCTCACCTTCTGATCGTTTACATCTGCTAGCTTTAACAAATCCTTGTAGATGATATCCAGTGCTGCCACCGTTGCAACCCTTTCTTCTGCTGGGGTGGCTTCCGTAAGCAAATCAGCCTTAGCACTGCCCAGGCGCGACAGTGCCTCCAGTAGCGCCACCTTTTGCTTGTCCATCTCGCTGAAACGTATCATCGAGAGCCGGTAACACAAAGAGTAGTATTAGATAACAGCAGAACGCCTGTGCTGAGTGAGAACCAGTTCCACCCATTTATGACAGAACAACTGCGGGAATACCACCCACCACACCAAGCATCCACCCACCACACCAAGCATCCACCCACCACACCAAGCATCCACCCACCACACCAAGCATCCACCCACCACACCAAGCATCCACCCACCACACCAAGCATCCACACACCACACCAAGCATCCACCACCACACAAGCATCCAACCCACCACACGCAAGCATCCACCCACCACACCAAGCATCACCACCACACCAAAGCAGCCACCAGCCACAACAAGCATCTATCCCACACACCAAGCATCCACCCACCACACCAAGCATCCAGCACCACACCAAAGCCATCCACCCACCAACACCAGCATCCAACCCCCACACCAAGCATCCACCCACACACAAGCATCCACCCCCACACCAAGCATCCACCCACCAGCACCAAGCGCATCCACCACCATGACCGAAGCATCCCACCCACCACACAGCATCCACCCACCACCACCAAGCATCACCCACCACACCAAGATCCACCCACGCACACCAAAGCATCCAGCCCACCACACCAAGCATCCCACCACCACACCGAAGCATCCACCCACCACACGCAAGCATTCCACCCACCACACCAAGCCATCACCCACCACACAAGCACCACCACCACACCAAGCATCCACCCACCACACCAACGCATCCACATCCACCCAAGCATCCACCCACCACACAAGCATCCACCCACCACACAAGCAATCCACCAGCACAAGCATCCACCCACCACACCAAGCATCCACCCACCACACAAGCATCCACCCACCACACCAAGCATCAGCCCACCACACTAAGCAATCCACCCACCACACAAGCATCCACCACCACACCAAGCATCCACGACCATCACACAAGCTCATTCCCTACCCACCAACACCACAGCACTTCACCCACCACACCAAGCATTCCACCACTGCACCAGCACTCCACCCACCACACAAGCAGTCCACCCACCACACCAAGCACTCCACGCCACCCACCAGAGCAGTCCACCCAGCACACCAGCATCCATCCCAGCCAACACCAAGCATCCACCCACCACACCAAGCATCACCCACCACACCAAAGCATCCACCCACCACACCAAGCATCACCCACCACACAAGCATCCACCCACCACACAAGCCATCCACCCACCACACAGATCCACACCACACCAAGCGCATCCACCACCACACCAAGCATGCCACCCACCACACCAACCATCCCACCCGACCACACCAAGCATCCAGCCCACCACACCAAGCATCACCCACCACACCAAGCATCACCCACCACACCAAGCATCCACCCACCACACAAGCATCACCACCACACAAAGCATCCACCACCACACCAGCATCCACCTCACCACACCAAGATCCACCCACCACAACAAGCATCCACCACCACACAAGCATCCACCCACCACACAAGATCCTCACCACCACACAAGCATCCACCCACCACACCAACGCCAACCACACACACCACCCACCCATCCACGCAAATCAACTTGGCTTCACAACTCTACTCACTAGCACTCTACCTGAGAAGTGCTTCAGCACACAAAACCTAACCCCAACCGAATATTTGGGCTGCGTACGATTAAAACATTTCGGCTACCATTCCCCGGCGTATCAGCCCACACAGCTGAGCCACACCTCACCTCTTGGACCAGTGGCTGCGTCGGGCTGCACGTCCGGTCTTCATGTGCCATAGTAGCCTGAGTATCGCCTGCTGGTCCAGGCTTGGACCGAGCCACCAGCTCTGCTGCTCGACCACCTGCCTGCTAGCCGCTTGCCCCTCTTCCTGCGACTCGATAGCGTGCAGAGATCACACAGTTAGATACCTGACACACCGAATGCCACTCCGCAGGCAGTGCGTTAAACCGTAGCTGATATATAATATCACCCGGCAGTGTATAATATAGACTATAGTCGAGAGAATATAAATATAGTCTATATTACTACTTAGACAGTGCCAATCTATCTTATACACTTCCAATAAATATAGATATGGGACACTCCTTTATGACACTTCTATATATATGACGCCTCCTGATTATACTCAAAAAGTCATCGCATAAGCATTGTCCTTGCGCCGCAGACAGTCGTTGATTATAACATACGCATTAAATTGCCAAATACTTTTTTTCTCCTTGGTAAACCTCCCTCATAAGTTCCCTTGTACACCCTTTTAGCTTTATCGCGCTGGTGTCAATCACAGCATCGCATAGTCGTTAGAAAATCATGGTAAGTACCTGCATTTACAGGGATGTCACCATATACTGTCCTACCACCAATTCCGTAAAATTTAAATGCGTTTCATTTTACTGTACTGCCTCGTGGTGATAAGCAAGATATGTTTTTAATTTGCTTTAGATTTGGTCCCATATAGCAGAAAACTGTCTCGGGAAGCGTAAATGAGTCATAGCGCGTTTCTGAGTCAAGTCTAATTGTCGAACGTTTAAATTAGCCTAACCAAGCCTGTCTTCTGCATTTAAATTTATAGCCCATATAAAATGTTACTGAGCATGCTCTATCTAATGTCAAATAATGGGCGGACTGTGCCACTAGGCGAGAATTGTTTCTGTAGACGTCTTACACTAAACCACACTGGTGTACACTTAAGCAGACAACTAAAGTCTGACCATAGCCACTATTCGTCAACGAGGAATTCTTGAGATTCGGTGAAGTACCATTGATGCATGCTGCCACTATAATGTTAATCGCAAGCCCTATACATGCTCTATGTAGCACCCGACTCGATTATGAGCTAGGGGCCTCTGTTCCGTGGATTCGCAGATCTCAGACCAGAGCCTAATAGCACACTAATGAGCCCCGCAAACTCTCATCGTTCGAGGCATCGCCTGCGCGCTATGTCGCCATCGTCGGCGCTGCCTGCCGTTACCTTCCCTGGCTTACCTTCCTCCCTTCCCTTCCCTGCTTCCCTTCCCCGCTTCCCTTCCCCGCTTACCTTCCTCACTTCCCTTCCTTGCTTCCCTTCCCTGCTTACATTCCTCCCTTCCCTTCCCTGCTTACCTTCCTCACTTCCCTTTCCTGCTAACTTCCTCTCTTCCCTTCCCTGCCAACTTCCTCTCTTCCCTTCCTCACTTACCTTCCCCGCTTACCTTCCTCGCTTCCCTTCCCCGCTTACCTTCCTCTCTTCCCTTCCTTGCTTCCCTTCCTCACTTACCTTCCCCGCTTACCTTCCCCGCTTACCTTCCTCGCTTCCCTTCCTCGCTTCCCTTCCTCGCTTCCCTTCCTCTCTTCCCTTCCTCGCTTCCCTTCCTTGCTTCCCTTCCTCTCTTCCCTTCCCCGCTTCCCTTCCTTGCTTCCCTTCCTCACTTACCTTCCCCGCTTCCCTTCCTCTCTTCCCTTCCTTGCTTCCCTTCCTTGCTTCCCTTCCTCACCTACCTTCCCCGCTTACCTTCCTCGCTTCCCTTCCCCGCTTACCTTCCTCGCTTCCCTTCCCCGCTTCCCTTCCTCGCTTCCCTTCCTCGCTTACCTTACCCGCTTACCTTCCCCGCTTACCTTCCTCTCTTACCTTTTTGCTTCCCTTCTTGCTTCCCTTCCCCGCTTCTCTCCCTCTCTTACCTTCTCCCTTCCCTTCCCCGCTTACCTTCCTTTCTTTACCTTCTTGCTTCCCTTCCCCGCTTCCCTTCCTCTCTTACCTTCTCGCTGTCGAGTGACAGCAGCCAGGCGACGTGCAGGGGTAGATGTGCATCGTGCGTCTCGCGCAGGTCGCTGTAGAGGGCCTCGCTATCGAGCCTGCAAGGTAAGCATATATCTATATATATAAAGTTGTTCAGCCGAATTAGTCCGTTACTCGCCATAACTAGAGAACTCCGCAGCCTAGAGGAAAACTAAAGATATTTTCAGAATCAGCACGTCTGGGAGGTGGTTCTGGCTAAAACAGTTAAAAAGTTTAAAAAGTTAAAAAGTTAAACATTCATAAAAAATTTAATTGAACAATAGATGGCGGTCACATACGTACACACAACATCACATACGTCTGAATCCATGGTGTATAAACGTAATGGCGCAGTGGCCTCATCACTAGAACATCCGTCTGCTACACCTGGATTCCGGGTTCGAGTCCCAGCTGGGGTACATATTTTCCCCTTTTTTCCTTTTTTCCCTTTACCTACCTCTTTAGTATGTATTATTTTATTTAATAGAATTTATTTAATTTATTATTATTTTTATTTTTAATGTCTTTTATCTTTTGATTTCTTATTATTTTTCACTGTTTGGGATGGGATGGGACGGGATGGGATGGGATGGGATGGCATGCGATGACATGGGATGGGATGTCATGGGATGGCATGGGATGGGATGAGATGGGATGGGATGGGATGGGATATGGGATGCGGTGCGATGGGATGGGATGGAATGGCATGGAATGGGATGGATGGATGGATGCATGGATGAATGCATGGATAGATAGATAGTTAGATTTTTGGGGGTATTTTCCTTTCAACCAAGCGGTCACTGATTTCCCCGGGCAACGCCGGGTATCCCGCTAGTATAATATAATATATAATATAACGTAATTCTTACCACGCTCTCACCGACGGAACCTCTCGGTCGGCGGCGCCGCCATCAGCGAGTATGCGATTCCCCGCAGTGGTTCAAGCGTGCGCGCTCGCTTACAGTTGGCTCTCGTATTCAGAAATGATTATTTTTACCGCGGATAATTATTTTACTGCAGTAGAAATAGTTCAACCACGGTAAAATTATGGCCCTTTTACCCAATCAGAGGCATTGTTGCACATAATTCAACCGTGGTAAAAATAATTTATCTGCAGTTTAATTATGTGTAACGAGTCCTCTGATTGGGTAAAAGGGCTATAATTTAACCGCGGTTAAATTATTCTCACCGCGGTTAAAATATTTATTTCTGAGTACAATGGCCAACCATAAGCGAGCGCGCACGCTCTCACACTCCTCACTGCCGAGCTTATCACGGCGAGCACTTAGACGTAAAAACCTGACATCGTAGCCGAACGCTGCTCGATACACGGATACGTCTCAGGTGCGCACACCCGATACCATCCGCTGTTCTCACAACAGCTATCCAGTGTGATCTATAACGTACGCGTACGATGTAACTGCGCATCGGGATAAAATGAATTTAACCTGTTACGAGGGAGATTTCTGCGAGTCCTAATGGAAACATATGTTTCCGCAGAAAAATAAATGGCTGTAAGGTTAATTGAAATGACTAACGAAGGCAGCGCATGAAAAATGTTTTGACTAATTCTCTCGAATAATATTATCCATATTTCTCTGGCACGACTCCATAGGGACAGAGAGCAACACGAGTACCTCAGCACGTATACAAAGCTTATGCGGCCCGATATAACCTGGTACATAACAGAACGTGATACATATCACAGTGACACATGGCCTCAAATAGGTATATACCCTATTGGGGTACATAGCCCAGAGAGGTTTATAGGTTACATGGTCTACATAGTTTATAGGTTATAGGTTAGTTTATAGGTTACATGGTCTACATTGCTAAGAACCCTGTTCCACTGTTTCGCTCTGGCCCTGTGGTACTGTGAGCCCCTGTGGCCCTGTGGCCTTCAGTGAGTTACAAGTCCTATAGGGGTTCATAGGAGATGGAGGTATCTGGCCTACAGGAGAGAGTTCCACAGTGATGCATAACCTAGAGACCACATAGCATACATCAGTAGATATACTACAGTTAGATAGTCCACTGTGAGGGGTAGACATCTCTTAGAAAACTTGCCATGGAGGGCACCTTTGCCATTAGTGCTAATTATCTCACAACGTTTAATTCTAATTTCGTATCAACTGAACCATACGCAAGAGAATGCAGACAGAAGGGATCATTTTACGAGGGAGGATAAATATTTACAAGTTTATAATTGGCATGTGCATTGGCGGTAAACAGTAACTGATATCTATCATAAACAGCATTATAATTAAATATTTCCTAGAAAAATAACAGAGAGAATGCAATGGATGCAGGAAGTCTCTTACTTTATCACATGTTTGGAATACCAATAACAGCTGCAAGGAGCTTGGTTTCGCTAATAGAACGGAGTCAATAAATCTGAAAATTAATGATCAATTTTTCTAACGTGAGCTGGTGGAAGGCTCGCTGCAAAAATCTGCAGTCCGTCATTACCTCAGCCGCATCATCCCCTAAAGGCCCCGTTACACTAGAGCTACGCTCATCACGATCGCCCCACGCTCAAAAAAATTGGCCGAGCGTGGTGAGAGCGTGGCCAATTGGCCCCCAGCGCCAATACTACGATCTAAGTGCGTCTTTACCCCGATCTCATTGCGCCCAACAAGCTTTCACCATGCTCCATACCACACTCAACACCACGCGCGCATCACGCTTGCACTGCGCTCACTGCGCTCTTTATTGCGACCAATCAGATCGCATTGCGTTCAAACGACGCTTTCACTGCGCCTAAGCAACGCTCACTGCGTCTTAACTGCGCGCCAGTTACGCTCCTAGTGTGACTTAATCACGCTCTAGTCAGGCGCCGACTGCGCTGGCAACGACCATATAAATACCGCGCCGCGTTCTAGACATCATCATTCGTTCTGCTGTGCTGTTCACATCAAGATGATTTTCTACTGATTTTATACCCACAATAGTATAATAGTATGCTACAACTATGCCGCCAAAAGACTTCTATTTCTCCTCCTCATCCTCCTCAGCATGATGAGGGCTTGGCAATCAAGTAATTCGAGTTGTCCTTCTACGAGAAACATGGCATGGAGTAGTATTATCTCATCCATAGTGGACACTGAACTGGTGGGGTGGCCAGGGTAGCACCCCAATTTATACCCCAAGTTCGCAGGACGTGATCTGAGCATGGTATTGACGCAACTAACACGTAATACGAATGCCACAACGGCGTGGTCTGAGCGTGTTGGGCGTAGTACAATCGTAGTACGAACGGGTCGAGCTTGCTAGAGACGCACCATGATCATAGCGAAAGCGTGGTCAGGTCGCAGACATCTCCATGGACGTATTGACATCGTGCTGAGAACGGAGTGACAATTTTCACGCACCCGACACGCTTGCGATATGATCATTAAGTTCGTACTACGCTCGAGTTACGTGGGTACTACGCCTTCCACGTCTCTAATACGCCCGCACTGCGCTGTCTTTCCGCCACGCTCGCACCACAATTGTTTTCAACATGCTCAAAGTTTGGGCACGCTCTCCACGCTCACGCTGACTGCACCACGCTCGATCGCGATCGCAGTACGTCCATAGACGTTCATACTGCGTTCTACACGTTTCCACCACGCTCTTAGAGCGTAGTGAGATCGGGGCCATGGTGTGACGGGGGTATAATTAACATAATTATGCCAGCTGCTGCATCAAGATGATGGAATAGCAGCGTATTACTGCAAAGACATGGTATATGAAGGCAACCTTTGAAGAAGACAGAACGAGAAGACGAGAAGAGAGAGTTATTGCATCAATCATGTGTCTCATCATATCTATAGCCATACTTTGACAACCAGCTGATCTTCAGATCTCTGAGTGCCTCCTGGAACTCCTCCTCCTTATTCTTATCCTTGTTTTTCTCCTTCTCGGCCAATGCCGACTTTGAGGGCTTCTTTGCTGGCTCGGCCAAGATGTACTTATATGGATAGGTGTTCGCTTTCTTGCCCAGTTCATCCTTTGGGAATGTGATGGTACCAAGCAGATAGTTGCCTGGCACTGCAGCCTTAGGGACTCTGAAAGCGAACACAGTTTGTACTCCTAATGCCATACAGCTATCACTACACACCAAGCATCCACCCACCACACCAAGCATCCACCCACCACACCAACGCCAACCACACACACCACCCACCCATCCACGCAAATCAACTTGGACTTCATAACTCTACTCACTAGCACTCTACCTGAGAAGTGTTCAGCACACAAACCTAACCCCAACCCGATATTTGGCTGCGTACATTAAAACATTTCCGCTACCATTCCCCGCGTATCAGCCACACAGCTGAGCCACACCTCACCTCTTGACAGTGGCTGCGTCGGGCTGCACGTCCGTCTTCATGCCATAGTAGCTGAGTATCGCCTGCTGGTCCAGCTTGGACAGCACCAGCTCTGCTGCTCCGACCACCTGCTGCAGGCGCTTGCCCCTCTCCTGCGACGTAGGTGAGAGATCACACAGTTAGAACATTGACACACCGAATGCACTCCGAGCAGTGCGCTGCTGTATGATAATATCAGGAGTGTATAATATAGACTATAGTCGAGAGAATATAAATATAGTCTATATACTATAGACTAGTGATCTATCTTATACACTCCTAATAATATAGATATGACACTCCTATTATGACACTATCTATATTATGACGCTCCTGATTATATCAAAAAGTTCATCGCATGAGATTGTCCTTGACGGCAGACAGTCGTTGACTATAACATACGATTAAATTGGCAAATACTTTTTTCTCCTTGTTAAACCTCCCTCATAAGTTACCTTGTACACCTTGTTAGTTATCGGGTGTGTCAATCACAGCATCGCATAGTGTAGAAAATATGGTAAGTACCTGCATTTACAGGGATGTCACCATATCTGACCACCCAATTCCGTAAAATTTGAAATGCGTTCATTTTACTGTACTGCTCGTGGTGATAAGCAAGATATGGTTTTTAATTTGCTTTAGATTTGTCCCATTGCCAAAAACTTCTCGGGAAGGTAAATGAGTCATAGCGTTTCTGAGTCAAGTCTAATTGTCGAACGTTTAAATTTAGTAACCAAGCCTGTTTCTTGCTTTAATATATGCCATTAAAATGTTACTGAGATGCTCTATCTAATGTGCAAATAATGGGGACTGTGCACTAGGCAGAATTGGTTTCTGTAGACGTCTTACACTAAACCACACTGGCTGTACACTTAATGCAGACAACTGAAATCTGACCATAGCCACTATGTCGTCAACAAATTCTGAAGATTGCGGTGAAGACCATTGATGTGCTGCCATATAATGTCTAATCGCAAGCCCTATACATGCTCTATGTAGCACACCTCGACTCGATTATGAGCTAGGGGCTCGTTCGTGGATCGCAATCTCAGCCAAAGCCTAATAGACACTAACGAGCCCCCGAACTCTCATCGTGAGGTCGTGTAAAAATTAATGCCATTTTTTTCTGAATACGAGGAGCGCAAGCTGTAAAGGCGAGCGCGGCACGCGCCTTTTGAAACCATGGCTTGCCGGTGATCGCAATACTCGGCTGATTGCGGCGCGCGACCGAGAGTTGCGCGCGTCGGTGAGAGCGTGTAAGAATTACGTTTATATTATATAATTAATATTATACTAGGGCGGGATACCGGCGTTGCCGCGGGGGGAAAAAATTTTTTTTTTTTTTTCAGTGACCGCTTGTTGAAAGAAAATACCCCCAAAAATCTAACTATCTATTTATGCCATGCGCATTCATCCATGCTCCATGCATCCATTCGCGCATTCCATGGCCATTCCATCGCGCATCCGCATCGCACCGCATCCCACTATCCCATCCTCATCCCATCCCCATCCTCATCCCATCCCATGCCTATCCATGACATCCCTGCCCATGTCATTACGCATGCCATCCCATGCCATCCCATCCCCGTCTTATCCCATCCCAAACAGTGAAAATAATAAAAAATCAAAAGATATAAAGACATAAAAATAAAAATAATAAATAAATTAAATAAATTCTATAAGATAATAATAATACAACTAAAGAGTAGGTAAAGGGAATAAAGAAGAAAAAGGGAAAATATTGACCACCACTGGGACTCGAACGCCGGAAAATCCAAGGTGTAGCATACGGGATGTTCTATGTGATGAGGCCAGCTGCGCGACCATTACTTTATGACACGCATGGATTCAGATCGTATGGATGTTGTGTGTATCGTATGTGACCGCCGATCTATTTGTTCAAGTTAAATTTATGAATGTTTAACTTTTTAACTTTTAAACTTTTTAACTTTTTAGGGCCAGAACCACCTCGCAGACGTGCTGATTTCTGAAAATATCTTTATTTTCGCTCAGGCCTGCGGAGGTTCTCGTAGTTATGGCCGAGTAGCGGACTAATTCAGCTTGAACAACTTTATATATATAGAATACTATGTCTACCTTGGCAGCTCGATAGCGAGGCCCTCTACGCGACGCTGCGCGGAGACGCAGTCGATGCAACATCTACCCCTGCACGTCGCGGCTGGCTGCTTCAGCTCGACAGCGAGAAGGTAAGGAGAGGAAGGGAAGCGGGAAGGGAAGCAAGAAGTAGAAAGGAAGTAAGGCGGGGAAGGGAAGGGAGGAAGGTAAGAGGGGAGAGAAGCGGGGAAGGGAAGCAAGAAGGGAAGCAAAAGTAAAGAGAAGGTAAGCGGGAAGGTTAAGCGGGTAAGGTAAGCGAGGAAGGGAACCAGGAAATGGGAGCGGGGAAGGGAGAGACGAGACAGGTAAGGCGGGAAAGGGAAGCGAGGAAGTAAGCGGGGAAAGGTAGGTGAGGAAGGGAAGCAAAGGCAGGTGAGGGAGCAAGGAAGGAAGAGAGGTAAGGGATCGGGAGGGATAAGTGAGCGAGGGAAAGCAAGGAAGGGATAGCGGGAGGACAGGGCAAGGAGGCAGGAAGGGAAGCAAGGAATGGAGGGAAGGAGCAAGGAATGGGAAGCGAGGAAGGAAGCGAGGATAGGGAAGCGAGGACAGGTAGCGGGGAAGGTAAGCGGGGAGGTAAGTGAAGGAAAGGGAAGCAAGGAAGGGAAGAGAGGAAGGTATAAGCGGGGAAGGGAGCGAGGAAGGTAACGGGAAGGTAAGTGAGGAAGGGAAGAGAGGAAGTTGGCAGGGAAGGGAAGAGAGGAAGTTAGCAGGAAAGGGAAGTGAGGAAGGTAAGCAGGGAAGGGAAGGAGGAATGTAAGCAGGGAAGGAAGCAAAGAAGGGAAAGTGAGGAAGGTAAGGCGGGAAGGGAACGCAGGGGAAGAGCAGGGAAGGGAAGGGAGGAAGGTAAGCCAGGGAAGGTAAGCGGCAGCAGCGCCGAACGAGAGCGACATAGCGCGCAGGCGATGCCTCGA